GAGGAAAGGGTTCTGAGAGCCTTGGAAGTGATATTCGTGATCACCGCGAAATTCTCTATCGAATGGTGTATGAAGTGTCGAAAAATAAATTTCACTGCAAGGCTGCCCTGGGTGCATCTTACCTTAATTTTGGACTCATTTAAGTATTGAGTGGAATAAGATTAAAAAAAGCTCTTATCTAATTAAAAGTAATTGAAGATTATAAAAAAATAAAAAGAACTAGATACTGGTAAACTTTAGAATAATGATGATCAAAAAGGAGGACTCTTCATTCTGCAAAACCGCAAAAAAAATGATTACGTTCGATAACTAAAGAAAGTTCCACGCTTGGAATCACATTTATAAATGACCACGCGGGGAGCTTCTCCCAGTGTGTTTCATATATTTCTATTGGTTATAAATAACATCGATAATGTTATAACTTATAATAATAGTTTAGTTTATATATCACTTTATTTTCAACTATAAACGTTGTTCTACATTGATCGAATATCGAAGCGCATTTTACAAAAATGTATTGTAACGAAAAAAGAATAATATGCGACGATTACTTTCCTATGTTTAAACTGTCAAATGTTGTTGTTTGAATGTTTTTTGCACCAAATGTATCGAACATCCATTCGATGTGGAAAGGAAAAGCATTATGCTTAGAAGATTTATATGTTCCATAATTTTCACAGTCGCGCCGTTGTACAACTCCTGAGGCTTTCCACGTATTTCGTGTGGACCACTTTTGATACGTAATGTACTTTAAAATATTTGTTTATTACGTCATTAAGTAACAATATAGAAAAGCTACTCAAAACTGACATGTTTTTTTTGTTTGAATCTTACACCGGTACCAATAGCGTAAAGACAAACTGTTCTTCCTTTTTTTGTGTTACTTTTGTCAATGTTATTAATCATCACTGGTAGTTCATTGAGAAAGTGAATATGTCAATACTTTCTAAATTGTAATATTGATGCAACTGTAAAGTCTGAGAAGTCTTATACATGAAAAAAAGATCGACATTTTTTTTGCATAACACGTGGAAAAAATGAAAAATGATCTAAAATAACCACCGATAAATGTTTCTGTTTTTTGCTTTAAGAATAAAAATGTCAAAATCGTATCAACTGATCTCCAATCAATTGCATACTCGTCACACCATTGTTTACTCTTGGAGTCCGAAATCCATCTGGTGGAATATATAATCTTATGTCTTGTTGTGTTACATACATTTTATCGGGACATAAATTTTCTAGTACTTGCTTATGTTCTTCATCTATTCGTTGCATATCCGTCATATAAGATCGAATACTTCTTGGATGAGATCGAACATTATAAACACCACTGTATTCACTTGATGTTGTTGTTAAATCATCATATGTGTTATACACTGTATTTGTTTTTGATTGACTTGTATTATTCTCATCATCACTATCCGAATATTTTTGACCACTAATTGCATCAATGTGTAAATGAGTACGATAACGAGGCTGACAAATATTTTGTCTCCTAAAAAATACAAATCTTATGATTTGACAAAGATCAGTTTTAATACATTTGAAGCACAGATAAGAATAAATAACTTTAATCATTGGGAAAGATTTTAGTAAACATGTATTGAACTTACTTTTCTGCATGATCATACGGTACACTAATGACATCACTTAATTTTTCATAAATTACAGTTTGATCATTGTAATTATTAGTCAGTACTGGAAAACGTGCATCACTAGAAGCTGTTTGTAGTGATTCAAGTTGAGGTTGTTCATCGATCGTCGCCATTGTTGGTAATAGTATGACGACGGTGTTTTGTAAATTATTGGCAAGCGGTATTTTTTTCGCGATATAGCCATCATTGGGAATAACGACTAGCTTTTCCTTACCAGAAATAATATCTGATAATGGAACTAAAGGAAGACATTAATTAACTTTCTTCAGTTTATCTCCTTATAAAAGTACGAGGAATACTTACATAGATGACCATCTACATCTGCTGTATTTGGCTCAAAAATGTTTGAATTGTTTAATATTAAACCACTGTTTTTAACTAGCGTCAGTCGTCGCATTGATTGTGAAATACCTTTATTTTTAAACGATTCTTTTTCGCTTTTTGAAATTACTTCTGGTCTCTTTTTTCGAGAGTTTTTCTCCTTTTCATCTCTTAGAATAGTTGTTAAATCCGATTTTGTTTTTTTTGATAAAGATTTTCCCATTTATGAAACAAGTCGAGTGAAAAGCGTTAAATAAATGAAAAATAATACGTGACTGTTGGCTAACTGGTCTGTTTACAAAAACTATCGCAGTTAATATTTTCTTTCTCTATACAGTACGTGACTCTATGTCGTAAGATAGAAAAAGTTTTTTTCAAGAAAGATTTCATATTAATTATTGCTCAAATATGCTCGAGAAGTATTTTATTTGGAATGTGTCCGCCAACGTAGATTTACACATTTTTCAATACGCAAACTTTTATATACTACATGTGTATCTTTTAAATATATATATTTTTTTTTACTATTATTTTTATATATTGATAGTCAAAAGTTTAGAAAAGAAAAGATTAATTTAGAAAAACAAAAATTTATAATATATAAACTCTCTAATTTATCATAATGTTTTGTGATCCAAAGTTAATGCCATTGACATGAGCAATATAACATGTCCATTTTAATATTTTTCGAACAACCACTGTTTAACCGGAGTACATTTTGTGAAAGTCCTTCA